TCAAAAAAAAATTATTTTTATTTCTAATTTTAAAGTTAGTTAAGAAGAAAACTAAAAGTTTTAATATATTAAATTATGATTTATTTATTTTTTTTAGTTATAATATATATAAGGTATAAAACTTTTTATTAAATAAAATTTATAATTATTATATCAAATATCTTTTACTAATAATGACTTAATATTATCTAACTACCTATTTCTAATTATTAATTTTAAATTATAAAATATACTGTTTATTATAAATATAAATTAATATAATTTTTATTTTGCTTTTTTAAGATAATAATAGTATTAAAATTTTTTTCAGTATTGGTCTTATAAATATTGTATCAATTAGTATCAATTAAAATTCTAATTATTATTATCATTATTAATAATTAACTATTACATCCAACAAATTATTAAGAAAATATATTATCAATATTATTATGTATTTTGAACAAACATTGGATTATTTTGAAAAGTGTTATTGTATTTTATGAAAATAGAATTATTAAAATGACATATCTATTAAATATTTTTTATATTATAATTGATTTTATTATTATTTTTTTTTGTTTAATATTTTTTTTTTGTTTTTTTTTTTAAAAAAATTTTTATTATATATAATTTTAAGTAAATATTATAGCTGCTTAATATTATCTTTGATATATAGTTGAAGTTTCATAAATTAATAATTTTGAAACCATGATATTTTTTCTAAATTTTATAAAATTAAGAAGATTATTAAAATATGAAGACTTATATAGTAATTTTGAAAATGGAATCAAAGAATTTTATAAGTTTAGGGAGATTATTAATTTATGGAGATTTTATTGTATATTAGTTTTAATACTTATTTTTTTATATAATACTTAGATAGTTTCTATAGGTAAGCAAGCATTAAACTCACTAATCAATTGGTTATGTAAGAGAGATATTTTTTGTATATAAAATATTTTAAATTTGTACAATATGATAAAGTAATAATATTTATCTTTTTAAAAAAATAAAGTAAAATAAAATTATAATGTTTAACTTTTTTTAAAAAAAATTGAATTAGATTACTGTATACATAAATTGATTAATAACGAATTTTAAAAAATATATCAATAAAAAATTTGATTGTTTTTTTTTTGTAACAATTATAAATTATTTAAATTTTATATTAAATGATATAAAAACTATATTATTAAAATATTTAAATTACAATATTAATTGTTTTTATAAAATTGGTCATTCAATATATGTATATTTTAATAACTTTATTTTTTTTTTTTTGAATAATTTTGTAAAAGAATCAATTATAAAAAATCTTGATATTTATTATGAAAAAGAAAAAAATATATAAAAATATCAATTAAATTTATCAAACTTTTTTATTTTATATTTATATAGTTTAAAACACATTTACGTTGTTTTTTTTTTTAATTATTAGTATTTGAATTTATAAGATTTTTTTTCAAAAAATTTTGAAAATGTTACATCCTATCTTTAAATCAAAAAGAGTTTTTTTGTTTAAATAATAACTACTGTATTTTAAAATTGTATGGTTAAGTAGAAAAATCCAAAGATTATTCTAATATTTCCGAATCGATATACAGTATACAGTATATTGTATGTAATTGCATCTTGTATATATTATTATTGGTGTAGATTTTTTTATTGGCGATTTGCTGTAACCAGTACATACATCATTCTTGTTTGCTTGAGCATTCCAATCGTGGTACACGGTCAGATGTTTTTCGCAGCACCAATATCACATTACGAAAAGTTTACCAATGTGATAGAGATCACCATGATCAAATGATCGATTATTGTTCGTATATGCAAGGTACAGTAACACGGAAGAAAACCCCAAAACTCTAAGTTCTGTGGCAGTATTAAAAAGTCTGAATTCAGAAAAGATTCTTGGTATACAGTATACAGTACATATTTTTTACTGTAGTATTTTCATGTACTAATTTTAGCATACGAATTCTATCCTTTTCGTAAGTTCCTATTATTATCGTGTATATTTATTTTGGTAATAAGAACTTCATTAGCGATAATTGGATCGCCGACGAGACGAATAAATCCTATCCCAAACCAAGTCAATCCGTTGCTTAATCTATGACCAAATATAAATGAAAAACAAACGTGGATCAAGACTTTATTTCTGTAAACACTTTGAGTATATATATATAGTATACGTATAATAATATACAGTATTATACATGCCGCGTAAAAGTACTCATTTTATTCAGTAGTCATCATGCAATTCTCGAAAATCAAAGATGATCGGAAAACGTGTATCATGAGGTATTGTAAACATTTCAGGTTATAGAAATGAACAATTTAAATATTACCGCATGCTGTATCTGTAAGATAATCTTTTGACTTTCGTTTTCCAACTTAATATCATAGAGACTTAACTTGTAATAAACAGAAGGCCTTAAGTCAACAAGGATCTATTCGTATTTGGAAGTTGCGCGCCTTATGTTTGATTATGATTAGAAACATAAACCTAAAACAGTCTTGATACGTGACTACAGTATTCCATATTTAAATTAATAATGAAATCGATCCGTCAATTATGCTTAAAATATGTCTCATGGGACAATGATCTTTGTCGTATGGGTGATGTGAGTAGATTCATAGTAACGTGTATGAAACACCATTTACGCTTCGCATAATATAATTATTCGGAGAAATTGATGTTTGGTAACTAATATAAATATGCAATATATATAATTTATAACCGTATTACAGTAGCGGATATTTATGCTTTTAGGAGATAATCCGATACAGTAAATGCTTAACCATATTAAGCCTTAGATTTTAGTAGTTGTTGAAATACACATTTTGTAAAATAATTTACGTGTAATAATATTATTATTTCGGAAATCGATAGGGTAAATGAATTTTACATTTAATTCGCCGCAAAAACAACAGACAACGTCCTACCGCAAAAGTAGATGTATCTTATTATTGATGTCTCATCAAAGTTATCATCCAGTATTTCAATTGTGAACAGAATTGAATTATGCTTAACTACCGGATTGGTAGGATGAAATGTAGTCTATAAGAATTTTCGTATCCAAATTTTCTAAATCTTCAATTTTATATGTTTAACCATTCAGAAATGTATTTCAGAGATACGCAGAATATCTTGATATAGTATTAGGTCACTCACAACCCAACAATCTTATAATTTGAGCGTGAAGTCTAGGATTGAAACTTTCTTGGCTGTACCGAATCCTTCAAATTAAAGATTTTGTTTATAAAAATTATTATCGTCAGACATCCCATTGTACAGTGTGGTACTGAACTTCAAAAGACGAATTCACCTGCAAACATTTTCATTAACGAATTTATATGAACATATTTTACTGTACATGTTTTTAAACGTCGCATATATAAAAGCATTTTTCATATCTGATATCTGATATAGTAATATTTACGGGGTAAAGATTTCTTAATATACAACACAACGGGTGATTTTAACAATGCTGAGGAAGAAATCAATATTAAAAGGCACACATAGTCAATTATATCAACACTCATTTTCCTTTAATTACAAGTGATATGGATATCAATATGATTATCAAAGTAACGTAGTTATTTTCAACGCGATTTTTTTACATTTTATTAGCAATGGATATTATGTCAGATAATAATCTTAGATACGATACTGTGGAAACCTATTAAATAAATAAAGTAAATCACAAGAAAAATTATTGTTCTGTTTCAAACGCCTTTGGTTAGAAAACGCGTGCACAAATTTAAATTAATATTTTTTGTACTGATATTTTTAAAAGGCATTTACAAACTATTATGCTTATTAGAAAATAAATAAGATTTATTAGGATTACTTTTGCGACATCCAAGCTTCCGTATGCGTACAGCATACAGTACCTCAATCGTCAAGATTGCGCAAACCAATTCATACATGTAACAATAGCAAAACTGCGAAAAATCATTATGAAATAGGGCCAATCCTCTATTTCTTGTTGAATAAAAAACCATTTCAATCAAGACTAATGATAGCACCAAGGTTGTGAATTAGATCTCTACGAAGAATATTGATTTTTAATTCCAAGTGTATGTACTGTTTACGCCCATCTCTCTCCGGATAATATGCACATAGATCAGTAGTATTTTTTTTTGTATATATTTATGCAGTTTTAGCCAATCGAGTGCAAAATTCACATATGCAGGTACACAATCTTTTCGAACACAGTAAATAAAGTTTTCAAACGTACGGAGATCCATGTGTTCTGTACCGATTACTTTTAAGTGATACGGACATGTGATGTGAAAATTTTGAATTTTATCAATGATATCGCTGCAGATGATATTAATTTCCATTCTTTGCCAAACAATAAAGAAAAGAAGAAGCCCCATATGGAAGGTAACAACTTTATTTTTTCGAACGCCTACTAAACTAACAACGCGACTCTTGGTACAGACGCTCAAGAATATATTATTATAATGTACAAATATGGAAAGCGACAATACCCTGGTCAAACTCGTCAGCACCATTGACAAGTTCTTTGTGATTTAGTTATGGATACATATCAGAATACAGTAACTCACGTCCAACCTTTGAATAATCATTTATTTTATTTATTTATTTATTTATTTTTGGACTATGGTGAATCATACTTTCAGTAACTTTCTGTTGAATTCATTGAATTCACTCTTTTAATTTAGGAAATATTAATTGTCACGCATTATTTATTTCTGGAGGATGTGGGGTCATTTGCGCGTACGACTCACAAATTCGTGATGTTCATTCCTTATTTAATTGTTTTTTTTATCATGCACAATAGACCTCTGTAATTCAAAATAGCTCGTTATTATAATTAACAAAAAAGTCAACAAACCTTCTTATAAAAGGGCTTCCAATTCTTTTAAACGAAGCAAGTTCGCGATAAATTATTTTTCTTCGCTCTAGTAAAGAATCAAAATATACTTTCTATTATATTCACTTTGACTATAAGATTTAACAAGCAATCGAGTCTTGACTTATAAAAATGGACGGATCGCTTCGATATGATTTAACTGCTGCCCTTGCTGAATTCTTGGGTACCGCTTATTTTTTGTTCATGGGTAAATATGAAAAACTATTATCAGGCATAATTTCAAAAACAACTAAGATCAATTCTTCTTTTTTTCGTAGCCGGAGGAGGCACAACAAGCATAGCGGATTACTCCATGTAAGTATTTATTTTCTTTCGCATTTACCATCAGCAAAATTCTTCGACCTCTCAAACCCTATCGTTCTTATTATTTTAGATCCGGTATTGCTGTCCCGTTTGCTTTTGGGTGGTCACTTTTTGTCAATATCTGGATCTGGTCTCCTATCTCTGGCGGAAGTGTGTTCTCTCTTGACTCTCTTGATTCTTCTAGTTTTCTCTTTTTCTTACAATTCACTTATTTTTTTTTTTTGTTTCAGTACTGAATCCTGCCATAACCATAGCATTGACTGTCACCAAAAATATATCGCCTATACGCGGTGTCCTTTACATCATTGCTGAAATGTTGGGCGCGCTATTTGGTTCCTATATGATTTACGTGTTATTACCAGACTCTGCTAGCTGTGCCACTGTCGTAGCTGTAAGTTATTCTTGTTTGTAAAAATTCGACTAGTCCGATCCATATTAATTAATGCTGTATCACCATGTTTCAGTCTAATGTATCAACAGCTCAAGCGTTCTTCTTGGAGCTCTTTGCTACTTCGGTGCTCACCTCTGCGGTCTTCTTCCTTGCCGTCGAGAAAGCCGGCGGTTTCACGGCCCCATTTGGTGTTGGTATGGCATTGTTCATTTCCGCCATCGCAAGTAAGTAATATTTTGTGTTCATGATTAATCCTTTTCGTTCTTATTCTCAAATCCTATAACTTTTTTTTTATCACGTAGTTGGTCCGTTCACTGGTGCAAGGTAAGAACCTTTGTTACAAATTAATTCATTGATTTTATTGGTCTGCATAATAATCTCACTTTCTCCCTAAATCTAAGTTTGAACCCGGCAAGAACCTTTGGACCCTCTATAGTATACAATCAATACGGAACAGGTTACTGGGTCTATTATGTTGGCACCATACTTGGAGGATTGTTAGCAGCCGGTTATTGGAAATTATTCAAAATCCTGGATTACAAAAAATGTTTAGGTACAGATACAGATACAGATACAGATACAAATCAACCTAAGAACGGCGGAAAACGCGATGTAGAAAATCAGCAAGGTTCCACAATGAGCACATAAAAAAGAATATATATATCGCTATTGTTAATTTGTGTAACATCACATTGTATTGTATACTTTTTATTACCTTTTATTTAACTTTATAATAAAATTCATTCGCTGCGAGTTTATCGTTGTGAAACAAACAAGTAGGTCAACTGATACAGAAAAACTTGACAATTTCCATGTTTCGTTGTTGGTTTTTTTGCAAAATGTGCAACATAAGATACTGTACAGTATATTGTGGATCCAATGTACGATCTCTTACTTCTTTGAATGGTTATGTATGCAGGCATTAATTCACACGGTTCAAAAGCGTTCTTTGATTTTTTTTCCTTTTTCATTCTTACTTAAAACGAATCATGCTTTCACATTAAAAAAATATAGTATACTGTACTTATTAACTCTTCTGCGCGTTGCAAAAATTGGTTTAATTATTGTATTTGGTGAATAAAATTAAAAAAAAATAAAATCCCATCAAAAGATATTATATATTTTGTTTATATAACTAATAATACTGTTGAAAAATCAAATAATATTTCAAAATAAACTTGAATACCGTATATTGATATTATCTCATATACATATCATATACTGTAAATATAAAAAAAATCTATTTATTTTAAACATTATACTTATAATGGTTTTGTCTTTTGCTTTTTTCTTAATACATATATTAAAAATAGAAATTACAATTTAAAAATAAAAAATTTTTTTAAAAAATAAATTAATTTAGAATTTTAAATATTTTTATTATTTTCAAATTTGGATTTCTTGTTTTTAAAAATAAATACGATTATTTTCTTAATATCATTTTATTATCTCTTAAATTGTAGGGTTTTTTTTATAACTGTTAAAATTTTTTAACTAAAAAGTTGTTTTTCATTTATTTTTTTAAATAATCAAAATATTTTTTAAAAAATTTATATAATATTAGTTTTAATTATATATTGTCTATTTATAATATTTATTTTTTATTTAATTAATAAAAATTCAAAATTTAATTATAAATAAAAATTTTTTAATAAAAGTTAACCTTAAACAAACTTAAAATTTTTTTAAATTAAAGTTTATATAGTTATAATCAGTTTTATAGAATTGTTTACAAAAAATAATTTTAATTATTACAATTTTAATAATTTAATTATAAAAAATTTTAACTTGTATTAGAAGCAAAATAATTTTTTTACTTTAAATAATTTTAAATAATTTTTTATATTAAAATTTTAAACACAAAGTTTAAAGTTATTTATTTTGAAAATTTTCAATAAAATTTTAATTT